TCTCAACGCCCCGCTCTCTCCATCCGGCCTCTTCGGATCTGCTGTCACGGGTTTCGTTGACCGTTTCTCCGAAGTGCAGAAAGCCTCCCAGGCCATGAATCTCTTTCTGCCTCGTCGCGCTAGCTCCTCTGCAGGCCGCTCATGTGACCAGCCTCCTGCACGAGCCCCACTCCAGCGCCCAGCTCAGCACAGTCAGACTTCTCAGCGACGCCAGGGCGGCCGCCCTCGTTCTCGCTCTGACAGCCGCCACAGACCGCCGCCTCCCCGGGGGCCTCGGCCTAGGATCACACTGAAACCTGATCACTCGAAGTCTGCCTAGCACAGCTGAGGAAAAGACGGCACTCTCCCGCCGCGGCCAGACCGCCGTCAAAGTTTCGCCCTCTGATAGTCCCCGCTCACGCGGCTACTACAGCAGTGTACCCCGCCATTACCAAGCCGGTCCCCTTTCCCGCTTGCATGAGCACAAACGCCGTTTTCACGGCGACCCAGAGAAATCTCAAAAAGAGCATAAAAGCCTCCTGTGTAGAAATTGTGCCCACAACACTGTGTTCACTCATACACAAAAGCATTTCAGTTCCCGTGTTTCTCACAGAGCCCACTCTCATAAAGCGGTTCCAACCCGCTCGAGTTTCAGAGTGCATAAGCGCGCCCACGAGCCCGTGTGCGCGTCCCACCTCTGCTCACTCTGTTACACGGCCCTTAAACTCCTCTCTGAGTGTAAGTCCCGCTGTCATAAACACTATGAGCGCGCCCGCGCAGGCCGCTATGTGCTTCAAAGCGTGGGAAGCTATTCCGGGAATTTCCCAGTGGGTGCTAAACACAATAAGGCTAGGCTATCGCTTACAGTTTCACCGCCGCCCTCCACGTTTCCGAGCGCGGCTAGAAACTATTGTGAACCCAGAAGCAGTGACTCTGCTCCGTTCAGAGATAGCAAAACTATTGTGCAAAAGGGCTATATAGAGAGAGTTCCTCTATCTATGAGCGAGTCTGGGTTTTACGGCCGTTATTTTCTTGTTCCAAAGAAAGACAGCGGCCTCAGACCAATCTTAGACCTCAGATTTCTGAACAAAGTTCTCATGAAGAGGCCGTTCAAAATGCTCACTATCAGAAAACTCCTTGCGCATGTGCGCCAGGGGGACTGGTTCATTTCACTAGATCTGAAAGATGCTTACTTTCAGATTCAGATAAATCCCCTTCACAGGCCATTCTTACGTTTCGCCTTCGAAGGCCAGGTTTATCAATACACTGTCCTTCCGTTCGGCCTATCCCTAGCACCCCGCACGTCCACGAAGTGCATGGATGCGGCGCTCGCCCCCCTGCGGAGTCAGGGGCTGCGAATACTGAACTATTTGGACGACTGGCTGATTTTGGCACAATCACAGAGAGAGCTACTGTCTCATCGTACAGTTCTCCTCGACCATCTGAAAGCTTTGGGCCTCTCTGTCAACTGAACAAAGAGCGCACTACAACCCAGTCAGACTATCTCCTTCTTGGGTATAGAGCTAGACTCGGTCACGATGACGGCTCGTCTGTCAACACAGCGCGCGCGCCGTGTTCAGCGTCTCGTCGCATCTTTTCAGATGAACAGACTCACACCTCTGAAAACTTTTCAGAAGGCGTTGGGTTACATGGCCTCAGCCTCCGCGGTGCTCCAGCTGGGGTTACTGCGCATGCGCCCGCTTCAGCTCTGGTTGAAGAGCCGTGTGTCTCACCGCGCGTGGACCACGGGCCGCCAGCTGATAAAGGTAACGCAGATCTGTATCACAGCTCTGCAGCCATGGACCGTGGCAGAATGGTTTCAGCGGGGCGTTTCCATGGGGACCTTTTCTCGCCGAAAAGTCATCTCGACAGACGCATCCAACACGGGTTGGGGTGCGGTCTGCGAGGGCTCACCGGCCTTCGGCCCCTGGTCAGCTCAGGAGAGTCTCCTCCACATAAACTGTTTGGAGATGCTGGCGGTCGAGAACGCGCTCACGCGCTTTCTTCCGCGCATTCACGGTCACCACGTGCTGATCCGTTCGGACAATATAGCCGTGGTCTCCTATCTAAACCGTCAGGGCGGAGTCAGATCCAGGAATCTCTTCCAGCTGACAGAACGCATCTTAGTTTGGTCTCAGTGTCACCTGCTCTCGCCCAGAGCGACGCACGTGCCGGGTCATCTGAACGACGGTCCAGACAGTCTGTCCAGGAACCCCATTCCCCCCGGGGAATGGTCCCTGCACACTCTTACAGTCCAAAAGCTGTGGCGAATATTCGGCAGAGCAGAGGTGGACCTCTTCGCCTCAGAAGAGAACACCCACTGCCCAATATTTTTCTCAAAGAGCGAGGACGCGCTAGCCCAGACCTGGCCCAGCCGCCCGCTTTATGCATTCCCTCCGGTTTCTCTGCTACCACAGGTGCTTCAGAGAATCAGGGAAACACGCCACTCGGTGCTCCTCATAGCCCCGCGTTGGGAGGGTCAGACTTGGTTTCCGGAGCTCACTCAGCTGTCACAGACAGCCCCGTGGCCCATTCCAGTCAGAGCAGATCTCCTCTCCCAAGCTCGCGGCACGATCTGGCATCCCCACCCAGAGCGCTGGGCGCTGCATGCGTGGGTGATTCGTTGAACTGGGCAAAGATGGCTTGGTCATCCGCTTTCTCAGGGGAGCTAGAAGGATGAACCCCCCGCGCCCCCCTTCGGTGCCGATTTGGGACCTTTCCATAGTTCTCGAAGCTATGAAAGCCCCCCCATTCGAACCGCTAAACACCGTGGACCTCAAATACCTTTCGCTCAAAACCGCTTTTCTGCTCGCGCTCGCGTCAGTAAAACGTGTGGGAGACCTTCACGCACTGTCCAGTAGCGCTTCCTGTCTCGAGTTTGGGCCCAATGACTCCTTAGTCGTTCTCAAACCTAGACATGGTTATGTCCCAAAAGCGATTGGTACCCCGTTCAGGGCACAAGTTATTTCCCTATCGGCTCTGCCTGCATCCGATAGCGAATCTGACTCGAATCTCCTGTGTCCGGTCAGGGCCCTGAGATTATATATTACTCGCACTGCTCCGGTCAGACGATCTGAGCAGCTTTTCGTTTCGTTCGGTGGGCGCACCAAAGGGTTGGCCGCCTCGAAACAGACTCTATCCAGATGGATAGTTGATGCCATTGCAGCCGCATACGCATCAAAAGACCTGCCATGCCCTCTGGGCATCAGGGCTCATTCCACTAGAGGCATGGCCTCATCGTGGGCATGGTCCAGCGGAATTTTCATTCATGACATTTGTGTGGCAGCGGGATGGGCTTCCCCCTCCACCTTTGTCAGATTTTACAATCTGGAAGTTCCCGCCTTGCAGGCTAAACTACTAGCAGTCTAGTATGTTACAGCTCTTCTGGTTGAGCTGCACTATCGGGAGTTATTCACTCGGACCGGTTTCGCTCTGTCCCTCTCTATCATGTGCTTTTGTAATACACAATCTCCGGCCCGCTCTGCTGGCCTTTGTCACATGTACATATATTTATTCCCACTCATAAGGGTTCCCTGGGGTCTCCCCTGGGACTCATAGTGGATGCTTAGCACGCACGGCGTTGACCAGGTGTCCCCGTAGCATAAGCTAGCTTACGCAATACGAGAGAACCTCTCGTAAGAGAACGAATCGGTTACCTAACTTAACCTCGGTTCTCTCTAGATGAGGGAACGAGTATTGCGTTCCTGGCCGTGCTTGTGCTACTAGCGTTCTCGCTTCATTCTATGAAAACCAGAGTTTACAGCCTGGGAGGCGAATTTATACTCTCTGACCACGCCCGTTTCGGCGGGCTCTGACGCAATAAGAGCATGTCAGACTCTCATTGGCCGAGAGTTCCTTCGCGTCCCCTCATAGGCTTAAGCAGTTCTCTGTGAGCGAACCAATGAGCTGCTAGCTAGCCCGCTCATGGTCTGCTGCAGCTGAACTGCGTTGACAATGGATACAAAATTATAGGATAATTTTTTGGCTTCAATTTTTCAGAAAAGATTAATCTTTCCTGTAGCGTAAGCTAGCTTACGCAATACTAGTTCCCTCATCTAGAGAGAACCGAGGTTACGTTAGGTAACCGATTCGTTTTAATGCAAGGAGTAAACAGGGTCTTACCAGAAGAGACCATGCATCTCATGCAAGCTAAAGACAGGCAACAAAAGAAAATTAATTATTTTGAAAGTCATTAGAGAAGACTGGGGCCGCTAAACCTAACGTTACACGTGGTTAAGTTTGAGCCAGACAGAACATTAACCTGACCGTCAAGAACTTTTTGTCTCTCGAAATAAATTCTATACCCACCCATTGATATATAGAAATGAATTGATACCTACCCTTAGCAAATCGTTTATAAATAATAAATGTTGCAGCATTGCTAAACAACAATACCTTAAGCAGATTCCACATACCTCACTTCGTGTCGCTGTACAGCCTCCCCCTACTGGACACATGAGGAACAACAGGGGCGTAAAACTGCCTCACAAAACCCAATTTATTTCTTAATATGTAAAACTTTTGAATTAGCTCTTTAAAGTTATACATTGATGTGAGAATCTCACTTACAACATGTTGTGTCGCTGTTTTAAATATTTGATACACCCTGTGACTGTGTTGAGTTCAGTTATGATGTAGATGAGCAGGAGTGGAAAAGTGAATTTTTGGTTTGACAAGGGCCAATAGTACCCAAACAGTTTTGTGCCAGACTGTAATGGAAAAGAGTGGGAATGGGCTTCACTCTTCAGTATTAAAATGTACATTGAAGAACTACTGTATGCAATAATATTTTGAATGCCAATTAATTTGGTAATTTTTAGTTTTCACTATGAACAGAAAAAAAAACATTTGATTGTTTTCAGAAATATGACAGTTCCCAACCCATTATCAACATGCAACCCAAGCACAACCCCTGGAAATAAAGTAGAAATTAAGGTAGTTGAGTGAAAGCATCGTAGTTTGTTTAATTCATGCTTAGAGAAAGGCGCTGAGGCCATGGCAAGAAGATAACATATCCAGCATCCAGTTGACCACATAAACATGCTTTATTTCAACATCCAAAATAATTAAAAACATCTTGAAATACTATACATGTACAAAATAAGTACAGATCCTTTGTTGGAACCATTGGAGGGTTTATTTCTTCCGTGCCCTTTTCTTTTTGCCGCCTCATTTTCAGTTTTTGTAAGAAACCTTTCACTGAAAACAAATCAAACAAACTAAAACAAAAATAAAATCGAAAAAAAAAAGATGTGCATTGCATTTTGAAAGTAGAAATAAAATCCGGAGACGGGGGGAGCGGCATGTACAGACAAAAATAAGACTTCTCTAGAGACTTCAGGAAGGGGAAATGGAAATGAGACGAACTGGCAATCAGTCCATCCACTTAACCCATATCAGATTACAGTATCTAATCTACAGTAACCGACCTATCCAGCTGTTTTATTCTCCTCATCCGCTGACACTTTGATAAGAGACAATTGCATCACATTGACATCAAGACATTCTGTTGACATTTAGCACCAAAAAGGCCCTGTAAGTGTAAGTGACAGTATAAAAATAAGTTTGTTTTCTCTCAAATACAAACATACGACAGACAGGACCTGGAGAGGAAGTAGCACCTTTTCATACCTGTTACTAATCATTTACTTCGCTTGAATAAAAAAAACTGCCCTCGTTTTCCCCCAAAATCTCCATGCACTTTTTTGTCCTGAGGTAGCCTTTATATCAAGATGACATCATACCATTGACCTAAATCTGTTCCCTGTGTGATGTTTTACTTTCAGTTAGAAGGAACAAGACACTTGGCTGTCGTTTGTCATATTTATTCAACACCAGAGAATGGTACATTAGCATTTGCTTGTTTTTCATTGTCCTTTTGCAGTGGTCAAAAAAGTCACCAGGTGGTAGTTTTTCTGTGGACTCCAGGGGGCGGGGCGTTTTACAGGTATATATTATTTTCTTGTTGTCAGCTGACGCAAAGGATTCTCATGAAGTGTCCATGATGGTGATGCTGGCTAACGTAGTGGTCCTCGATTTTGTTTTAAGAATGTTTCTCAAGATGGGAATCACAACAAGCACCGTCTTCAAGGATTCAGGTTTAAGCACATGGACCGATTTGCAGCCGAATTAAGAGTTCAGGCTTTTTTTTTTTTTTATGAACAGGAAAAGATTTGAAGATGACTGCTAGAAAAAAAACAGCAAAGTCATGTCCAGATTTTTCTTTTTACAAGAAGCAGACTGGGCCAACTTCTACACCGAATTCCTGATCAGGAGCACCAATGTCCATAGGAGCGATGTCAATGATTGGCAGACGAGATGTTTTCGTTGTCTTATAGTCAATGACTGTCTTGCCCCATGTGCCAGTGTGTGACTGTGGAAAACAAACAAACAAAAAAGGACAAATTAATGATGATAATAATGACGTTTGTGTGTAGTTTAGCACTTTCAGTTCCATCGTCCTGAAGTCAAAGGGTTTTGGGTTAAATGCCTGAAGTAAGGTCTGTGGTGAACACAAGCTCTTTTCTATTCTTTTACTTGTCTAACAATTAGATATTAAACATCATCAGCCGAACACGTAAACTCATCTACTCACTAGGTGCTTTCACAGCCTCATTGTGTTTATAATCGCACACTTGCAAACTATTCCAACTCAAACTTTCAGAGAATTTTTTTTTTTTTTTTTTTGAAAAACTGAGAGTTGTCGAAATCTTAACTGTGGTGCAGTTCATTTATAGCCTAAATTGAGCTTTTTACTTCTGATTGTGTTTAGGCATCAAAATTCATACGTTTATCATGATGAGCAAAACGTGTTGGAAGCATAAACTTGTGTTGGTCGCAGAGCTCATTTTCTGCAATAATCCTATTGGCTTTTTGTCGAGGGAACCAGGGCGATGCAAACTCATAGGTTGGACTACAAAAACACGTCATCTCTGCAGTGCTCTGTTTAAGAAACATTATGAGGAAGGAAAGAAACACAAAAGAAAAAGCCATGTCAGAGATGGCGGTGTGCTCACCGTGCAGCCATCCTCGCTGACTCTGTATGTAAAGCGGCTGTTGCCCTCGGCTCTGATCTCGATGTCGTTGGAGCCCTGCAGGAGCAGAGCCTTCTTCAGGTTGCCTGTGGCCTCGTCCATGTAGGCGATGCTGTTCTTGCAGTGGTAGGAGATGTTCTGAGAAGCCTCGTTGGACATCAGGCGCATGAAGGTCAGCTGGATGTTAACATCCTCTGGATCAGAGCCATCGCTGCCATACTGGAACTAACATAGAGGACAGGACACCACATTACTTCCTGCATTCATCAGCGAAGATCATGATATATTTCGAGACCACTAGGTTCTAGAGAGCATCTTGAGCTTGAGTGGAAGCTAGAAAATCTTTTCTTTTGTACAAAATTTCAATGTCAAAAATGTGATCATTTCGTGATTAATTCATGTCTTAGAAATAGTGCAGAATCTGAAATATTTCTTTAATTTGAAGTAATAAAATATTTCAAATTCTGCACTATTTGAACAAATTTCTAACTAATCACAATTTTATTAAAATTCACAAGTCACAAAACTTTCCATTAAAAATCCTAAAACTATTTATTTGTTTGTTATTTATGGTTTTCAGACCTTTAATCCAAAAGAAAAAAATGGCCTGTTATGTATATATGCGTACATAAACATCTTTTAAAATGTATTTTTAATGTAAAATGTAATCTATTTTATAAAAGGAAAGGAATACGCGTTTCAAGACCATTAATTCAATTTGTAAGTAATCACAATTTTCAAAAAATTCACAAAACATTTTTCGAAGTTCTTTTTTTTTTTCGTATTTGAACTATAGAATATATATTAAACAGCGAACTGTATTTTATAAATGATCAGCTAAATCATTTCTTTTAGCTTCTGGTCTTTTCACAGTCTATGTATCTCCTAGTATAAAGTCTTGACGTACCTGGAAGCCATTAGGCATGGACTCTCCGAACCAAACATGCTTCTTCTCTCTGATGTTCTTGCTAGTGTACCAGTTCTTCATGGGGATGGTGGTCTGAGATGGGCTGACGCAGGTCTCGCCAGTCTCCATGTTGCAGAAGACCTTGATGGCGTCCAGAGGAGAGCCCTGGTTGGGGTCCACCCAGTAAGATCCTTGCAGGAAAAACAGATTTAAGTGAATCTCAAATGCACGATCATTTCAATACATCTGAATTTGATCTACTGCCTTAAAGCGAGTCCATGCTTACCGCTCTTCCATTCAGGATGGCACATCCTCAGGTCACGGCACATGCGGGCAGGGTTGGCCTGGGTTCCTTCAGGGCTACGGATGTTCTCAATCTTCTGGCTCAGAGATTTCAGGGTGGTGTCCACCTCAGCATCACGGTCACGAGCGCCGGCATCATCAGCTCTGTAGCCTCCACGTAGTGGATCTGGACCCTTCTCGCCCTGTGGCATGGGAAGGAAGGGCTCACCGATGCCAGCAGGTCCAGGAGGACCAGGAGGTCCAGGAGTACCAGGAGCACCCTAATTAAGAGAGACAATATCACATGAGTACATCCACTTGGATGGTATTTAGATCTGTTAAAACAGAGACAACTAAAAATCTTCAAAGAGACAAGTTAGCAGTAAAACTGTGTTGATTTCAGACTTACAGAGGGTCCCATTTCTCCAGTGCGACCACGGGGTCCAGGAGGTCCAACGGGTCCAGGAATACCGTTCATGCCATCCTTACCAGCAGCTCCATTGGAACCAGAAGATCCCTATAAACAGATGGAAATATTTCACTACAAGTGAAATAAAACTGTGCTAGAGGAAGTGTTTATGAATACTAGAATACTGTTTTCAAGTTGAAATTGGGTATAACGCATAACAGTGACTGTAATGTGTATTTTAGCAGTGGGAATGGCATATGTTGAGTTTTAGTATTTGGATAGGGTCAATGGGCTAGCTTTGGGATATTTGTGATTGGCCTTTGTTTGGGCTGGTTTTGTTAAACAGATTCTGGCAAACATCTAATTTAGTCTTGCACATAAGAAGGAAAGTCATATGAGATTTTAACTACATGAGAGTGAATAAACGAAGACAAAAATGTTTATTTTTCTGTGAACTATTCCTTTAAGTCATGTAGTATAAACCAAAGAAATTGAAACCGAGTTTCTCCCAAGGTGTTTTTTCTCTACTACCGTCAATGTCACTTTTGTCTTAAATATTTAATGCACTATGAGATGAGAACAAAACTGGAGCTAAATTGAACTGGATAATAATGTCTTGGAAATTAAAGTCTTTTCATAATTGATGAATTTCCTACATCGAAACAATCTGTATTGTATAAAGCGTTATAAAAATAAATTGCTCGACTATTATTTAAGTGAGGTCATATAAAATGTGTTACTTACACGAGGTCCAGCAGGGCCAGAGGGTCCGGCAGGTCCTTGGTCACCAGGAGATCCCTAAAAACATTCAGAAAGCATCAAATATAAGAGTCAGTTTTCACTCTAACTTGAGAAATCCACTTCGAGTGGAATCAGCGTGTAACTGTGACACTATGCTCACTTACAGGAGGGCCAGGAGTTCCAGCCATTCCAGAGAAGCCACGGTGTCCCTTCATGCCTCTCTCTCCAGCCTCGCCAGCCTCACCCTTGTCTCCACGTGGACCAGCTGGACCCTGGATGAAGAGAGATGAGAATGATCAGACTGGCGACGGATTACAAAACAAAAACTACAAGATGAATAAATGATACAAATGAGAAATTCATACCAGGGAACCACGAGCACCAGCGGGACCGGCAGGACCAGCAGAACCAGCAGGACCCTGGAAGGAAGCGAGAGAAAGAAAAAAAAGAACAATGTTGAACATCCACAACCATAGCATGATATAATTCATCATAATACAGGTGAAACTCGAAAAATTTGAATATGGTGCAAAAGTTCATTTATTTCAGTAATTCAACTTAAAAAGTTAAACTAATATATTATATAGACTCATTACATGCAAAGTGAGATATTTCAAGCCTTTATTTGTTATAATTTTGATGATTATGGCTTACAGCTTATGAAAACCCCAAATTCAAAATTAGAATATTGTGAAAAGGTTTTCATATCTGTAAGCCATAATCATCACAATTATAACAAACAAAGGCTTGAAATATCTCACTTTGCTTGTAATGAGTCTATATAATATATTAGTTTCACTTTTTAAGTTGAATTACTGAAATAAATGAACTTTTGCACCATATTCTAATTTTTCGAGTTTCACCTGTATATCAATTTGTCTTATAAAGGTTTTTAGTGTTACAGTGCAGAGTTGTTATAGTTAACTAAAACCAAAAAATATTTTCATTACTTGAAATATAATAAAATATCTCATTTCCATTCAGATTAAGTTAAAGTACTAAAATAACTCAAATTAACCAAAAGTAATAAAACTTTTTTAATGAAAACAGAAAATATAAAAATAAAATCATTCAAAATAATAATGAAACCTGTCATTTTGGTATGGATGCATTATGTGTATATATTCATTTTTAAAAAATAAAATAATTCTGGTAAATTTTTCAGAAACAATTCTGGGATATAAAAACGTACAGCCTCTCCACGATCACCATTCTTTCCGGATGAACCCATGGGACCAGGAGCTCCAGGAGCACCGGGTGGGCCAGGAGGACCAGAGTTGCCAGACTCGCCACGGTCTCCCTACGGCAAACACAAAAGTGTTTTTAAAACTGGAAGCACCAATTACATATGTCATTTATCAACAACTTATATGCATTCATTTATTTAGTAAGGGATACTAAACAAATCCAGATAGCGTGACAGTAGGGTGATAATGACTGTATATTACCCTATAACCATTAACCGGTTTTATATATATTTATGTGTTTGTATATACTGTATAAATATTTTTTATTAGGTGTCTAATGCTATGCATCTAAAGAAATGTACTTATTGTGTTCATGTTGTACTGTTTGCTGCGTATGGGGTTGGGATATGGGTATGGTTAGGTTTAAAGGTAGGTTAAGGGGTAGTTAAGATGTATTAATTACATTCAGGCATTTTTAAATATAAGTACATCATAACTACATGCATGTACACAGTAAGTGCATTGTATCGCCGAATGATTAATTTAAATGTTAGTACACAGTAGGTCGCTTTTCTTCACTAGATAATATAAATTGTCTTGCGGTGACGGTGAGATAAATTATTTTTTTAAAGTACAAAATACAAATCTTCCAGTTAACAGCCTCTGAATTCAAAATAAGGTCATAAAAGCTGCATGCATATTAATTATAAAAAGATTTTTTTATTTTTATATATACATTTAATGTCAAATAACTAAAATATTTTATAGAATGCCTTGATTGGATAGGAGGATGCCTATGTAAGAAAGTGTGATTGCGCTTACCTTTGGTCCAGGTGGACCATCACGGCCAGGAGCGCCATCATGTCCAGCATTACCCTGTGGAGAGGAGTGACATAATGAAAACAACTCCATCACACTGATTGTACAGAATGTGGCCCTTTTGTTTAACATAAGTCTTCTATAAATCTATAAAGTTTGCCCACCTCACGTCCAGCCTCACCAGGAGCTCCACCCAGTCCAGGAGGGCCCATGGGTCCAGGAGGTCCACGCTCACCCAGAGCCCCAGAGGGTCCCTGCTTTCCTGGCTCTCCCTGAGGTGATGGGGAGTTGAATGGATATTATGAAGGATGGCAAAAGTTTACTGAAGTCAAAAACTGCATTTGCAACCCAGTTTAAAACAGTAACAGAATATTTTCACATCAGAATGAGGAGAAAAGTTTGGGCTTGGATGAACAATTTGCTGAAATGTTATGCAGACAAACATGTTTTTTTATAAACGCACCAATGACTCAAGCGCAATATGACCATGAATGCACATTAAAGCAAACAGGGTCCATTTAGATTTTACATTGACTTTATCTATATTAAATAAAATCTGTTGTTTAAGCACTTACAGATGGTCCAGCGAGACCAGAGAAACCTCTCTCTCCTCTTTGTCCAGGAAGACCAACAATACCACGGGATCCAATAACACCAGGTGGTCCAGAAGAACCAGGAGGACCCTAAAGACAATGGGTTCAAAAGACTCTTAATATTCAGGAATATCACCGATTTGACTGCACTAACACTACAGGATAAGAACTAAATTGAGCTGGATAATGACAATATTGTCTACTGTACAGCTGCTTCATAGCTGATTTGAATTTGTTTCATTATTGATGGACCCTGCAACATCAACACTGTTTTGAATTGAACTGAATCAACATTGAACTGACTTGAGCCTGATAAGGACACTATTGGATTCTTCTGTAGCGCTGCGTATAGCTGAATTGAGCTTGTTTACTGATGATCATAATTAGAGCTGCTTTACAACTGAAATTTAATTGGTTTCAAAACTGATTAGCTTTGCAAAAACTAAAGACACTGTTATTGAACTGAATTGAATCAACATTGAACCAAATTGAGTGGTTCAGTGATGCTATTGTCTGTTTAGAGCTGATTTAGAGCTGATATTGTATTCATTTCCGAACTTTGATTAACTTTCCTGCTTTTTTTTTTTTTTTTTTTTTACTGTGAAGCAAACAGACTGTATTGTATAAAGCGCTATTCATGTGACTTGACAGCAGAGCAAACTGAAGGTTACTTTCTACTTTGTAGCTGTGGTGATAAAACTATATCCGCTTTTCCACCGTTACACCGGCCGAACGGTTCCAGTTATTTTCCACTTGAGCTTGGTTCAGGACGGCGCGATTACAAACAATTATCGGCCTGTTCTCAGCACGGTTAACTAAGCATAAAAAAAAAAGACCATATCCATATGGGCCGGATCGGCATGGAATGGAACGGTTAAGCAGTGAGAATTGTTTGGCCTGATTGTGGAAAAGCGGCTTATGGTTGAAACTATGATTACTTACAGCAGGACCATCAGGACCAACACTACCCCTCTCTCCAGCGGGTCCTGGGGGTCCACTGGCACCGGCCTCTCCAGGGCGACCAGCGGGTCCTTTCTCACCGCGGGCACCTCTTTGTCCTTCTTTACCCGCACCACCATTTGGGCCAGGGGGTCCAGCAGCACCCTGAGAAAATATGACATGAAATTAAATGATTTGAAGTCGGACTCATGAAAAGCTAAACAACCTAAAGAGAAGCTTGTAAACACTAAATATATGAAGTCAATATATGTTAAGTATTCGTTTAGACCAGGGATTCCCAAACAATTTTGTCAGCTGAACCCATTTTGGCCTAAAATATTTACTTCGAGTATACTTTGAAGTTAATATTTGAATAGTTCAACAACACATTCACATGTAAATCATTTCATATTTTTTTTCCACGAAACCCCAGGTTGGGAAACCCTGGTTTAGACATTGTTTAGAATAAACAATACTTACAGAAGGACCTGGAGGTCCGACTCTACCAGCAGCACCAGGGAAACCAGTAGCACCCTATTAAAAATAAAGACACTCGGAAACTGTGCTCACTGGCAACAGAAACATGCTATGCAATATCATATCAGAGCAAAGTATATACACCGGCCACTAAAAAAACTATTGCTACATTTAGTATGACTGTATGTGTATTTAAACAAAATATCAAACCAATTAAAAAATATTCATTTCATAGAAAAGCATGTTAGGGGTTAAATAATGAAATACACATGTGGTTAGAACACCTGTGTGAACTTGAATAGAACTGACTTTAAATCGGATAAGTTTAATATTTTATGCAATGGAAGTTATGCATTTGTTGTCCAAATATGCTTAATTGCTAAAATGTCTTGAGGTCTCTGAATAAATAGCCTCTAAAAGTCCAGAATATTAGACTAAAACTAAAACCAAAAATGTAATTTGAAATAAAATAAATGTTAACTGTTGTTGTGCTGTCGTGTGTGGATGCACCGTAAGGTTTGCTAACTAATTTTGTTGTAAGTTATGCAATTACAATAAAATGGAATAAAAATTTAAATAAATTAAAAAATCTTAAACTTATTTTATTTTGAGCTAGTCGCCAAGGCAACAGTTTAACCTGATGTAATAAAATAACTAAAACTAAAAAAAGGGGGGGGGAAACTAGACATAAAAAAACAATAAATAAATAAAAATGACAAAACACAACAAAATGACCAAAACTGAAAAATACATAAAATATAAATAAATACTATGTATATATGAACTATAATAGGATCTCAATAATACTAAAATAACACTGATAATAAAAAAAAGTTGTTTTAAAAGTATAGAGTCTAGTTCTAATATCTAATTTCGTAATAAATGACTGATAGCATTGAATCTTACAGGAGGTCCAGCACCACCGCGAGCACCCTTAGATCCAGTAGCACCAGCAGGTCCCTGTTAAACACAACCACCGATGATAAGGATATTATATAGGATGTACATCTATTTAAGCACAACAGAAAAGTAATAACGTTAAATACCTGTGGGCCGGGGGCTCCGACGGGTCCACCAGGTCCAGGAGCTCCAGCGTCTCCCTTGGGTCCGGTGTCACCACTCGATCCCTTAGCACCAGGTTGTCCATTGGCACCCTGCATTCACAACAGAGACACTTAAGCTCAGTGATTTTAAATACCACATGGTAATTGATGACAAATGTGGGATGAGACTGTTATACTCACAGGAGGTCCAGCAAAACCAGCAGGTCCAGGGGCACCTCCCTCACCACGCTCGCCCTGTGAAGATACGAGACAAAAAAAATTTAAATGACTTGTATTAAATCACTCACATTCTGTATAATTTAAATGCAATCATGTAAAGCCTGACAATTAATAGTCTGAAAAATCCATTAAAACTAGTGCTGTTAAATTGATTAATCGCGATTAATTGCATCTAACAATTTAAAAATTTTGTTTACATAATATGTGTGTGTGTGTGTATATATATTATTAAATTTATATTTATTATATAAATGTCTGTATGTATATACTTTATATATATATATATATATATATATATATATATATATGCACACATGCATATATGTTTATACACATATATATGTGTGCATATGTGTATACAGACACACTTTTACCTATTTTTAAAAGGAACAGTTTATGTTAAACCTATATTTTTAAACTAAAATATTTTTATGGCTCATATAATATGCTGTAGGGAGAATATGGAGGTTAAACTCAAGAAGGAATGAAACAGAAGCTCAAACTGAGCAGAAATATGCAATTTGGTGCATTTGCTGATATTTATATGGCCAAAAAGTAAGAGGAAATTATGATAGCTTGTAATATAAATCAATGAGATCTTTATAAATGTATCAGACTACTTACATGAAATGCGTATAAATATCAGCTGTCTGTCACTCTATATCTCCCAATAATATGTCTTAGTAAGATGACAGTTTAAGAATTTTGCTAAAAGGCCTTTTACTTGATAGAAACCATCAATCAGATGACATAAGGCATGTAATGGATTGTTCAAAAGGTTTTGAACATGATTTAGAGGCCTTACAAATATACAGGGTTTTTAGGGTTATACAAGGTAAAATTGTGTGTGCAATTGCATGCAATTTAGCATTATTTTTTGGTGTTTATGTCCATGTTTCATGAGGTTTTCAGGAGCATCCTGATAACTTACAGGGGCACCACGAGGGCCAGTCAGTCCTGGAGGTCCAATAGCACCAGCCTCTCCCTAAAACACAACCACAAGAGGAGAATCATACACAATGCTACGAATGGATCAGAACTAAGGCACAAAAAAACGACATTTTTATTTCAAAACCCGCAATTAGAAAAATTATTTGGAGCTTTACGATAGGAATGTAAATCTTTCAATGCTAATTACCAAATAAATGATTCATATCTCTTTACCTTCTCACCAGGAGCACCACTGGGTCCAGAGGATCCAATAGGGCCGGTCATACCACGCAGGCCATCCTTGCCAGGACCCCCATCAGGGCCCTTGGGACCGCCATCACCCTAAAGAGGAAGGACAACTGTTGTGAACACACAGCAGGACGTGACATCATCACTACACTGAACACTTGCTGTCAGTTTAATTTCGATTTGGTAACAAGTCACTACCCTTGTGAAAAAGAAGCATGCTTAATTGTATTTAATATGCACTTGTAGTGCACTTTTAATATTAAAAGCATAATTTTAAAAAACTGTACTTGCATATAATATAATATTAATAACATATATGGCCACTTAAAAAGAGTACACTTTCATGACTATGCTTCTTAACACACTTAAGTACACAGTTTTACTCTAAAGTACATCTTAAATCATTATGTTTTAATCATCTTTTGTCATGCTTTAAAGAAGCACACTTATTTTGGCGTGTTGACTAAAGCACACGTAAAGTACTTGATTATAATTTTATATCTGTACTTAAGTGGGTCAAAAAAGCTGTTCAACTAACCGCATTTAACATACATTTAAACTATAATACATTTATTTAATTGCAAATAACATGCAAACTGAACATTACATTCAGTTCACACTTAAAATATATTTGGTTACACTTTATTTTAAGGTGTCCGTGTTACAGTGTAATTATACATTTAAGCACTGAGTAATAATAATGAACTACATGTATTTACTGTAGGGTTAAGGTTAGGTTTAGGGTAATTAAGCACAATTTATAGTAACTACTATAGTAACTACATGTAACGTGCAACTAAGACACTGTAAGATAAAGTGTTACCATATATTCTTCTGTAATATAAGTAGACTTTTTAAAATAATGCTAAATTGTACTTCTTTTTCACAAGGGTATGTTTGCTTGAAAAACAAGGTTGTTATGCAAAAAATATTTGATGGCAGACTATAAAAGTATTCAGAGTCAAAATCCTTTAAATGTGAGTAGAAATCTGGACTGTTATGATTCTTACTCTGTCTCCTCTGGCTCCAGGCATGCCTCCAGTACCGCGCTCTCCAGGCATTCCCTGCATTCCAGCAGGACCAACACCACCAGGGGCTCCAGCAGCACCAGGCTCTCCCTAAACGCACACAAACACAGAGAGAATTCGATTATTTATCAAATATCACTATTCTGAGGCATAATTCTATCCAACTGGAAGTCTTACCTTAGCACCATCATTACCGGGAGAACCAGGGGCTCCACGGGCACCGGCAGAGCCGGCAGGTCCAGGGCCACCACGCTCACCAGGGAAACCTCGGTCACCCTGCGTGAGACATTACAAATATCATTCTGCTGTGTTTCATCCCAGCTGACTAACAGAAACGGTATACTAGAGCAGTGAGGTAAGCGGTAAGAGGAAAAGCCAACATATTGTTTACTTACTGTTAGAAAATAATAAAAAATACATTTATTGAGGTGTATAATTTTTTTAATACATCTATATACAAGAAATACATTTACTGATGCTGCTTATATATAAAGCGATATATCTATCTACTTAAAACTTTTATTTAAAAAAATTCAAGATATATTCCTAGAATACTTTATAGGTTTTTCATACTATGAAAATTTGCTTCTCAGCAAGTGAATTTATTTTCTTTTAAGGGTGTTAAGATATTTTTACTGAAAAACAATGCTGATACTTAGAGAATTATTATTTTTGCAGTGTAAGCATAATAGTAGTAATAGTAATAAGGTAAAAATAGAAGTCAGATTGTTCTTATAGTTTAATAAGTGCAATTGAGCTTGGATGAGAATTAAGAATTGATTTTGTTTTCTATTTAGAAAGAGATACTCACTCTTGGACCAGAAGGACCAGAAGGACCACCTTCACCAGGAGCGCCCTGTTGAACAGTGAACATCATAAATAACACTGAACAAAAATACTGCACTTCTTTATAACCAACATATTTGTGATTGCATAGAATAAATAAAGAAGTAAGGGCAACATATCATCTTATGTTTACAATTTGGTTGATTACTGTAACCTAAATTTAAATAAAGTGACCACACATACCTGATCGCCAGGTTTGCCAGTCTCACCAGTGGCACCCTGTGTACCTGGCAGACCCTGTAAGAGAATAAACATTGATTGCTTAAGTTCCTTCAAACGACTAAACCAATTACAATTAGCTACTAATCTTAACCAGTCTGACCAGTAAACATATTTTCATCTAAATTACACTCAAAGTAAATATAAAAAGGGTGTTCAAGCGTACCTGGAAGCCGGGAGGACCAGCAGATCCCTGTTCTCCCTTCTCTCCGGATGGTCCCTATGAGATCACAGACCAGTGAGAAAGTTAGAGCAGAAACAGAAACAGTTCACATTGCCATGGCAGTTTTTTTATCATATCAAATTTAAGAGGTTTAAGCACACATACAGCAGGTCCAGGAGCACCAGGCGCACCAATATCACCATCTTTGCCAGGAGCGCCCTATAAAAACACACAGAAACAAACACTGCATCATTATAAGAAGATTACCCTCTTTTCTAAGAGTTTAAAGCAATGCTTAAGGCTGCATAAAGTTCAGAAAATACTACAAATCTGTGTGATTCAGTACGTACCAAAGCACCAGGGGGTCCAGCAACACCTCTCTCACCACCCTTACCAGCCTCACCCTAAGAGAAATAAATCAATGTATTAAACATGTCATTAAGCAGTTTGTAAATCTGATATTCATAAAAGGAATCTTTTTATTTTACAATTGAGTAAGAAATAAACCCTGTAAACCTGACATATCAAATAATATTCCGAAAAGGAACAGTCTATTGAAGCTTTAGACAATATATATTGTTTTTGAGAATTATATTTATACATCAGGCTTTTATGGATCATATAGTATGATATAGTGAGAATATGAAGCTCATACTTGAGGGAAAAACACCTCAGGCCCAAACTGAGCAAAATTATGAAGTTTGGTTCAGATGCTGATATTTACGTATATGGTCAAAAAGTAAGATGAAATTCTGATAGCTTGTAAATCAATTACTACTTAAGGACTACTTACATAATATTCATATAAATATCAGTCATAACTCTATATCTTCCAATAATATGATATTGAAATGCTCAGTTTTATGATCAAAGCTCTGTAGTTTTAAAACATATCATTCAATACAATACACGGATGATGCATCAAAAGCCTGATGGATCATATTTGATACTCCCATTTGAACTCCATTTTCTTTCTAAAAATGATGTATGATTGATTAAGTAAACCTAAGTTGCTTCAGTCCAGTAAATGTTCGTCTTCAAATATTAAAAAAGTCTAAACTATCAATCAGAAGACAGAAGGCATGTAGTAGATGTGTGTGCAACAGGTTTTTCAGCAAAGTTTTGATCATGTTGATAATGTAGAGGCCTTGATAAAGAGGACGTGATATAGTAGGCTCTACAGCGTTAAACGTGTTGTCTAGAGAAGGTTTGATTTTAATCAAGATAAAGCTATTTAAATATATAATTCATAGCTTTTTTTGTAGTAGCTTACATCAGTTCCTTTGGGACCAGGGAATCCCATCACACCAGGTGCACCACGAGATCCAGAAGGTCCTGGAGGTCCGGGTCGGCCATCTTGTCCAGGAGCACCCTACGGGTAAAAGAGGTTCACGCAAAGTCACAAACTTTACTTTAAATACAAGATTTAGTGTCTCATATGAGTCTTATATTGCATACAAACAAAAACAAGCAGGGAATTATAATGTATATATATATATATATATTAGCTTACAGAAGGTCCAGCTTTGCCATCAGGCCCAGGGCTTCCAGGGGCACCAGTCATACCCTACAACAAGCATCGGGTTAGGTGAAAATACAGACTATTTATACTACTAATATGGTTTTACATAACATTAAAGAGCCTATTTCTCACCTTAGATCCAGGCATTCCTGGCTCTCCTGGGCGACCAGACTCTCCAGTGGCTCCTTGAGGTCCCAATGCTCCATTAGCTCCACGCTCACCAGGGGAACCCTATGATTTAAATGGCCACTTTTAGTATTTCAGCAACAGCAATCTTCCTCTACAGGACCCTGGACAGCTCCTTCTCAATGCCTTAAACAGCATTACAGTGAGCAGTCAGGACTAGATTGAGTGCTGTGCTGTTAATTAATACATTAAACCCCAGATTAGTCTGTAGTTTAATAGCAGATGACAGTGAGCAGTCAGGACTAGATTGAGTGCTGTGCTGTTAATTAATACATTAAACCCCAGATTAGTCTGTAGTTTAATAGCAGATGACAGTGAGCAGTCAGGACTAGATTGAGTGCTGTGCTGTTAATTAATACAGTAAACCCCAGATTAGTCTGTAGTTTAATAGCAGATGACAATTTTAGATTTGAATGTTGATATATGGGTTAAACTAAACTGAACTATGTAAACCTGACATATACTTTTATGTAATTTCAGTCCTATTAAATCATATTAAATAATATAATATAACTTAAAATCAGATTTATTATTGTTTTTGAAAGAAGTCTCTTCTGTTGACCTAGGCTGCATTTATTTGATCAAAAATACAGTAAAAACAATAATATAGTGAAATATTATAAGAACATGTTTTCTATTTTACTATATTTTAAGATGTAATTTATTCCTGTGATGGCATTAATATTTTTGTGGAAACCCTTTTTAGGGTTTTTTGATAAATAGAAAGTTTAAAAGAGCAGCATTTATTTGAAATTGAAATCTTTTGTAACACTTTTGTAATACAAATCTTTACTGTCACTTTTGATCTATTTAACGTGTCCGTGTTGAATAAAATTATTAATATCTTTTTTTTTTCTTACCCCACGGTTTCCACAAAAATATGAAGCAGCCGCACAACTGTTTTCAACATTGATAATAATCAGAAATGTTTCTTGAGCATCAAATCATCATATTAGAATGATTTTTGAATGATCATGTGACACTGAACACTGGAGTAATGATGCTGAAAATTCGGCTTTGATCACAGGAATAAATTACATTTTAAAATATATTCAAATAGAAAACAGTTCTTTTAAACATTTTACTTTTTTTATTATTAAATAAATGCAGCCTTAATGATTCCAAACTTTTGACTGGTAGTGTAAGGCACATTTTAAGGTTACCAGATGAAACATTTACTAAAGTGTTCAGAGATACAGTTTAGCAAGATTTACGGCTTTGATTTGTGAGCTCAATAATCTTACCCCGGGTCCAGGTGCTCCATCACTACCAGGCAGACCACGGTTGCCAGGGGCACCCTTTTGAAAAGAAAAAAAAAAAAGACAAAAAGGTGAGAAACAAACAAGCAAAAAAAGCATGCTGGAATCGAACTGTCACAGTTTTGGTAAGGTTAACCTACACGGGCTCCAGGGGGTCCGACAGGTCCTGCACCACCAGGCTCACCACGAGCTCCTCTCTTTCCTTCCTCACCAGAAGGTCCGGAGAGACCTTGGGGTCCAACTGGGCCCTAGGACAGAGAATAGCAACTATTACTATTACAGGTTTCTGTAAATATTAGGAAATTATCTATGCTTCAAAGCTACTTACAGGTTCTCCCTTAGGACCGCCATCTCCCTTAGGGCCTTGGAGACCTGGATCACCCTGGAATTAGAGCATAAGACGTAAGATATCTGATCTCAGCCCACTGTGCTTTTATTCTTCAGACTCTTCTGTATCCAAAGCAACTTAATGTACATTTATAAGCCAGGAAAGAGGTTAAGTGTCTATCTCAAGGGCACAGAGAGTGTTATTTTTTAATCAGATCTATAACACCTAAAGGCTGGAATACACCACACAACTTATTTATTTATGCTATAACTAGTAGTAAAGAGGAAAAGATGATCAGTTCATGTGCTGCTTGCAATCTGTACTTATTGTTTGAATTTTATAATAAAATGGCAGAATTAGAAAGCTGAGACTTTGTTTCATAACAAAAGTAACAAAGCATAAAGCTTATTGCGATGTATTGGATGGGAGGCACTACAAATAATGGTTTGTTCAATACAGCATAGACTAAAAGATCAATTCTTCGGATTTAAGAATCGATATTGGTTCATCAAAATGAGAATCGATTAAAATCGGTAAATTGATATTTTCAACCTAGCCCTATAATGCATGTTCTAAAATCGACTTCAAATATCAAATATTCTTGATCTGCACTGACTGAATGAAATCACAGCCTATCACACTTTGTTTTGTAGATAATTTCAGCTTTAGGTGGGCTATCCATTTTTGCATTTTTCATACATTTTATGCAAGATCATATTTATCCATTGATATCTTAAACTTTTAGGCTAAAGCTAAAAAAAACAAAAAAGCAAAACTGAGCCTGTACCCATCATACACTGCTGTGTCAATTCTGACTGCCAATAATCTGCTGACTGGCTTTGATTTTCGGATAATAGCATCTACTGATTGCAAAACCGGAGCGAAAATCTGTGCAAAAGTGCTGTGCTGTAATATCAGTTTCAAAACTAAAGATAGCATATCTGCAATCCTGAAAGCACTGAAACATTACTATACTTTTAATGCATTCTTAATAAAATCCAGTATACATACATTGTTTCCCTTGGGGCCAGGAGCACCAGAAGGGCCAGAGGGTCCAGCTGGTCCACGGGTACCTGGGAAACCAGGAGCGCCAGCAATACCAGCAGCACCCTACAAAACATCATTGCAAATCATCGTCCCATTTTGCCATAAACAGCATAAATAAAAGATAAAGACAAATTGGTGTGGGATATTATATATTACATATAAATACTTACAGGAGATCCTTTGCCACCAGGACCACCATCACTACCAGGAGCTCCCTGTGCAGAAAAAAAGTGAAGTCATGTTCATCTTATTCTCCACACCATTAAATTAACTTATTTAAATTCATTTAAATTATACTCCAATCACACTTTGTTTTGTAGATAATTTCAGCTTTAGGTGGGCTATCCATTTTTGCATTTTTCATACATTTTATGCAAGATCATATTTATCCATTGATATCTTAAACTTAAGGAGCCCCTAAAGGGACATGGTGATGATAAAAATATGAGATGGGAGAAAATAATATATTTCAATGCTTTTGCGTACCCTTGCAATAGTTTTGCGTTCCCATGAGAAACGTTGCATTCAAACTCAAAAGTTTGAACAGTTTCTCAAAAGCATTGACATATATAAATGTCCTCCCATTTCATATTTTTTCCATTACCGTGTCCCTTTAGGGGCTCCGTACAATCTCTCAAGTCAAATGTATTTGTATTTAAAAGACGCATTGTTTCAAAGCATTTTTACAGAAAATTATTTTAGAAATAAATGTTGTATCTTCATGTCTTATTTAGCAGATCATATACTTTACAACTGTAATTTAAACGTACCATTATTCTGTTGCTATATGCAAGCAAATTTCCTGTTGAAATGATGTTCATTTAAAATCTTTCTAGCAAATACACACAGTGGTGTTTTGTGATGCAAATACTCACAGCAGGACCGGCGGCACCAGCGGGTCCAGGGTTACCAGGCTCACCACGGGCTCCCTGGGGTCCCTCTGAACCACGGCCTCCAGCAGCGCCAGTTTCTCCCTACAGACACGAAAAAAGAAGAAAAAAACAGTGAATTGTCAGTTTATTTATAGGAGGGTGACTCCCATGGGTATTTCCAGATATTAATTTAGTAGACACTTCTATCCGAAGAATATTTTATTGGTATATTGAACATGCAACAACAGGGTCAAGAAACAATCAGTTAGAATAAGGAAGTACGTATAGCTTGTTTAATCATTTTTGCTTTGCTTTAATGAACATGACAACTGTTGGCAGCTGTACCAATCCATGACCATAAAAATGTTGTATTGCTAATGTACTTGTGCTTAGTATAAGGTACATGTACTTACTATAGGGTTAGGGTTAGGAATTGGGTTTGGTTTAGGGTTAGCTGCATGCAATTATTCATAACTTAGTGTTATTACTACAGTAAGTACATGTAACATATGTAACAAGGACACTATAAAAAAAAAAAAGTGTTACCCAAACCTATTTTGCTGGTTTTGAGGTGGCATATGGGTGACAGGTTTAGGTGTGGGGTGGGTTAAGGTGTAATGGAAGGTCAACAGTGTAATTATAGATGTAACTACATTACATGCAGGTAAATATAAGTACACTGTAAAAACATGTATGCACACAATACGATCTACTGTTTTGTACTGTGTTTTGTATATTGCACTGTGTTGTGTTTTGTGAAATGTGTAGCCTCGTATGGACAAGTGTTGTAAATTAGCAGTTTTGCTATAACACTAAAAAACAATGTATCTGGTTTGTCCAATGCTGTTGTTATGGCCATATCAAATAAATAAATAAATAAATAAAATAAGTGCACTGTATCAAACGATTAATTTCAATGTTAGTACAGAGTAGACACTTCAATAATGAAATCCATCATTTGTAATGTGCACCATACCTTAGCACCAGCACCACCAGGGAAACCAGGAGCACCAGCAGGGCCGGTGGGTCCCTAATGTAGCAGAAAAATAATAATAAGTGAATTAAACACACTATAATACATCAAAGTGATGCTTTGATCACTGTAGTAGGTGTAACAATATATTGTAGTACTAATAACTAAACTATTATTAACACAATGATTACTTGAATCATTCCTCCAAATCAACTGCTTCATTTTCACATCTTAAATAACATTAAATTTAGTATCAATAAAGATATTGTGTATAGAGTATTGTGATACTTGAATTATCAATAGATTCTTCTAGTAAATAACTGCTGTATTACCAGAATATTGCTCTTAAGAGACTTACGGGAGGTCCGGCAGCGCCAGTGTTGCCATCATTACCGCGAGCACCCTGCAGAAAACAAAGAAACAAACAAAAAGATTACAATCGTTCATCGTTATGAACCAATAATGACACTGAATGATGGCCTTGAACCCTGCCTGAAGATTTTGCCTTTGAAAAAGCCAAAAAGATCAACAACTCTCTCCAAAAGAGAGCATTTCAACCTAATGCCTCAAGGACTCTCCAGAACGAGTGGCAGATATATTTCAATTAGTTTTGATTATCTGAATCAGAGTTAAGAGTTAATTTGCATTGAGTTGAGTTGCATTGAATAAGAGTTGAACTGCATTGTATAAGCAGAACAGTATATTAGATAGTATAAAATGAGTCAGTAGAGGTGAATATGTAATGCTCTGTTGACTCTACAGTAAAAATGAAGGATGGTTTTTGTTCTCTACTCCACAGTGATAGTAATGCATGGATGTGACACTTACAGAAGGGCCAGGGGGTCCAGGGCGACCTCTCTCACCGGGCAAACCACGAGCACCCTGAAAGAAGCAGATGGAGGAGGAAATGTGAGAAAAATGGCATCATTTCGAAGAACTTTTCATAGACTTTAAATCCCATCTATAAATCACTCACCATAGCTCCAGGAGTACCATTCTCACCAGAAGAACCAGCCTCTCCCTGTTACCAGAGAGGAGACACAATCAACAGAGAATCAACACTATATCAGCACATCTGTAAAGTCAAATTAGCATGCATGTTTACAGACCGAATCTGACATCTGCATGTATACAAGAACATACAAGAACATTCAATTGAAAAAAAATCTAACCTTGGGTCCAGCAATGCCAGCGTCTCCCTTAGCGCCATCTAGACCAGGGAAACCCTGCAAGAGACAACCGATAACATTGCATTGTTACTTAACTGTTGTTAGTTTAACTTCTTCTATTGCTCTCCTCATGGTTAAAAAACGTCTGCTAATGATTAAATGTAAATGTACATTAATAATCTATATATAGAAATATATATCGCAGACAGTATTGCAAAACACAAAAGTGAAAAACACATATGGTGGTTTATGGATAAACAGATAAAAATATGTAGTATGCAATATGTCATAAAATAGAAAATAAAAAATGTATTTAATAATAAATCAAATGTAATCAAATGTGTGCATTAATCTATCTATTTCTATATATCTCTTTATATCTATATATCTACAAATATATATGGTCACACTTTAGTTTAGGGTCAAATTATTGGGTGATTAAGGGATGTAGAATATGGTAGAATAATGCATTAATATGTGCTTTATAAGTACTAATCCACAGCCAATATCCTAGTAATATGCATGCTAATAAACAACTAGTTAATAGTGAGAATTGGACCCTAAACTAAAGTGTTACCTTAAACGTGAATAAACAATTTAAAACTACAGTAAAAAGGTAGGGTCATGCTCACTCTGTGTCCCTTGATGCCAGGGAGTCCAGGGGTTCCTGGGAATCCACGAGCGCCCTGTGAGAATATAATCATGAGGAAAGTTTGAATCTCTTTCCACACGTTTAAAATGTTTTCATTCCAGTGAGCATTCTTACACTGTAGTATAATACGTCATAAGTTGACTATGTCTGCAATATGGCAGTAATTTGTGTGTATAAACGAGGAAAGCATGAGCACCTGAGGCCCAGCAGCTCCACGCTCACCAGGGCGACCTGCTTTGCCAGCTTCACCCTGAGGAAGAGCAGAAGAGAGATGAGAATAATGCTGTATTATCTGAGTTTGGCTCGTCTGACGGTCTGATTCAGAGGTGATTAGAGTGGACGCAGTGAGAAAAAAGAAAACTCACATCCTCTCCGTTCTTTCCAGGAGGACCGGAAGCACCGCGAGAACCCATTGGACCCTGCAGGCAACAACAGCAGAAGAATAATGTTCACAAGCTGCTGGTAAAACATGCATGTTTAGTAGCACTTTTTCTTCACTTCACAGTAAAACTGACACTAAAACTCAGAAGCAAGTGAAAGATACTCACAGGAGAACCAGGCTCTCCAGGCTCACCCGGGGGGCCAGTGAATCCCTGAGGGCCCTGTGAAAAATACACACAAATACAGTTATATATCAGACGGGAGATACTGGATGGATAATATGCCACATGAGGTTTATAGTTCGGTTTACTGGCAATACTCAGGACTTCAATGTTAGAACTAAAAAAATGAAAAACAGACTAGCTGATTTATTTGTTCTAAGAAAACAACAACATTTTGTACTAGAATAGACTTACAGGTGAACCTGCAGATCCAGGGGGGCCACGAGCTCCCATGGGGCCCTATAAGAGAGAAAACAACATTTTAAATAGAGATAGAAAATTAACGTAGATTAAACACTACTTATATTCTATATCATGTACGTTTTTGTAGTTTAGAAGGCAGTGCAAATGGAGTCCTTTGAAAGCCGAAATCTAGAAAGCGAGGTGGCCGATTACAGATATAATGCAGGTATATGGATAATAAAAGTTAATTATGATGCACACTAAAGTGCTGTGAATCACTGTGTAAAAGTGAGTAGTGATGCATTTCTGTCTATTCTGTGTGAGATCATGAAGGAAAGGAGGACGAGTGGGAAAAGAGAAGCTGACGTACTGGTGGTCCGGGAACAGCAGGGCCGCTGGATTTCTCACTGCCATAAGCCATCTGGGAAAGGAAAGACTGCAGGGAACAAAGAAAATTAATGAGTGAGGGTTTGCTGTTTCAATATGCAGGTTTAAGGTTTGTGCTCCAGTGAGTATCATTTCATCATTTACTACTGTACTACTAAAGGATAGTTTTCCTTTTAATCTCAGAATATTAGACACTACTACACTGTGTAAATGCTATAAAAATCGGTCACAAATACCTCAGTTATGTCAAACCATATTTTGCTTTTATAGAGTGCATCATGTGCTTTTATTCCTGTCGACCCATAATGGAGAGAATGATGGGAGCTGTTCACATAGTTGGTACTGAACTACAGAATCACAGAAGCTTCACGCACTTTTAAAAACGTATTATTTATTTTTGAATGCCAAAGAAAATAACCTATCGGGCAGCAGAACGCAATTTAAAGATCACAACAAGATTTTTGTTTTTGAATACGGGCCAACGCGACAAGATTCTCTCAAACTTACTCATAACCATGCTGACGCAACCAAAGCAGAGTCACAGTTTTACAATGTAAAAAATTTCAGCGTTGCTTACTCCGCCGCCGAGGCCAGCGGTTCCAGGAGGACCAGGAGGTCCAGGGAGTCCGTTCTCTCCGGGAGTCCCATCTCTGCCAGGAGGCCCTGCAGGACCCTGAGAAACAGACAGCGGAGATCCATGAGCGGCAAACAATCAGAACAATGACACATCAGCAAAGCTGCACACATTTAGCCAACTCTTATTTCAGTGCTGCTGTGATGTGATTCACAAGTGATCCATTTAATCCTTATAAGAATATATGTTTTAAGAAAAACGGTACATTATGCATGTAAAATATCATATAAAAACTGAAATTGGAATGAGTAACACCATGTTTATTAAACAAATACCTAATCGTTCATGTTATGGAGGTCAAAGGTCAGCGAGACAAGTAGAGGTCAGCAAGTTAAAAGCCTCAAATGCCCCAATTCTTTGCATTTTGCAACAGATTTTCACATCAATACAAACTTTTTGACTCATAGAGACTTTGTACTCTTGCAAACAAATGTGCAATTGGTCTTTTTTTTTTTTGTACTAGTATAACTAGTATACAATGATAATGATTTAGTGTTCAAAAACAAATACTCTACTCACTGGGTCTCCGTTTGGACCGACAGGACCCTAAAAAAAAAGAAAACATTAGAAATGTTATGACACTTTATATTGGTGTATGCTGTAAATATAACATAAAGGGGTCTTTTATGTGCTTAATTTACATGTATACATGGTATGGCAAATGTAAAATTAATTATTAATTTATATATATATATTCTTTTTTATATATAAATGAGGTGCATGATGAAAAATCCAAATAAATTCCCACTAACCACGGGACCATATGGATCAACGGGAGGCTCAGGACCTGACGTTTCTTCTTCTATGGAATAAATGTAAAAATATTTCAGAACTGTGCCACCTTAAATCAGCTCAAGTAAAGATATAGATAAACTCAGAGGACTGATCCAGAATCTCAAAAATACTTTCATTAATAAGATTGCCAAACATTATTACTTCCTTTGATGCTTAAGAGATCAGTAGTTAAATAGTTCAAACGTCATTAAACTTTGCATATTTGATTGCACAGGAACAATTGATCTACTATGCATTATGTACTGTTCACAAAAGTACAAAAAGAAAAAGAAAAAGTATAATAAGCCAAAAAGCTATAAAAACTACAAGCAAAAACATCCTTAATCCCTCAGTCCCATGTAAAAGCATCAGTGGTGAGAGAGAATCCAGTGTTGTGTTTGCGCTCCACAGGTCTCCGACATGATGACAGGCCAATGAAAGATATTCCCCAAAGCATGTGGTTGAGTGTTTGCACACTTGAGGGCGACAGAGCTAGTATGACCGCGAGGTGCGTGTGACTGGGGCAAAGGTGGAGGTGAGTGTACCGTCGGGGCAGATGGGGCAGCATTCTCCATCGGGAATCTCTGGATTGGCACAGTCTGATGTATCCTCGCAGATCACCTCGTCGCACATGATGGTCCCGCTGTCGCAGACGCAGATTTGACAGGGCTCAGGTTTCCATACATCCTTGTCGTTGTAATTCTGACCTTCCAATGTACAGCTACCGAACGAGACTGTAAAGGACAACAGCTATGAATTAGCACAGTACAGAATTGTCAATCACTTCAGCAAACTACGCTGGGAATGATTTGAAGGGCCGACAGGTCCAGGGGGGCCATAACCATTTCGACATTTTATGTTGAAAAAAGATCAAGAGCACCAATATTTATCTGCCACATATATAGCTAGAACTAAATATTGGCTTGCCTCTAAATCAAAGTGACCCATTACAAAAAAAGTAGTTTAACTGAAACTTTAATTGAAATGTTTTCTGGTTTAAATAAAAGAAAATATACACTTTTGTTTTACTTACAAAAGAACACATATGACATTTATAATCTGAAGGCACAAGATAAGAGTCTCACTCTTGCATATGCAGAGTCTCCAAACTAAACAGTGATGATATTCATACGTATACAGAGTGTGACGCCATATTTATTGATTTTTTCATTATTATTATTTTAAAAGAAAGGAAGGAAGTTAAGCTAAAATGGCCTAATGGGGCGTGGTACACAATGATGGATAGGCCTCATCGTGTTTCAGACCTGTCCAGTATTAACATCCACCGCTTGGTGGCGCCAAAGCCTTGTAAACCACCGTCACGCCCCGCTCATTCCCAAACGATGAAGTGAACACCAAAGTTTTCCCTTTATCAAATTAAACGCTTCTTTGTCATTCTAAAACGCTGAATTGTCTCTCTATCGTTACACTTTAGCTGCCGTGTAGGCTCAAAAACGTCAATTTTACGAGTGACGGGTGCACCTAGTCTATCAAGAGACAGTGTAATCCAGAGATAATCGGTAAAATCCCGTTATAAAACGATAAAAAAGCATGACAGAATACAAACAGGCGTAAGAATGAGAGGCTATATGACATTAAATGCACTCTCTCGACTCGTTCTCTCTTCTCTCATCCGTGTCGCGTTTTTCCCTCAGCGCATCCTTCGCTCGAGGACATCACATAGTGACGGAACATGTACGTGCACGCGCGCAGCAAACAAGCGCTCGAGGAAGGAACACAATTCCGCGTGCATTGCCAGGATGGGAAAAATTACAATTTCTAGAAGATAAAAATGTTGATGAGAATAAAAAGGTAGTTTATTTCCCCCTCCTCGAGACATTCCCAAGAAGTTTTAGATTGCAGGTCACTTGCAACAAGCTGAAAATTCCCCCTCTTGAGTTCTCCAATCTCTTCTGTCAAGCATCTTTGCAAAAGCAGGAGTAAAAATCATATACTCACTATCTTCCTCTTCTTGTCCTTTCACCACTAGGACCGCTGCGGCGAGCAGCAGCCCTAACCGGATATCCACAAAGCTGAACATGTCTAAATATTAGACATGTAGACTCTTTGAGGCAAGGGGAATCCTGTTTTGTCCTCAATCATACACGTAGGGTCCGGTCTGTGTAACTCCAATCCAGACCCTAGCAGAAACTCCCTACTGCAAACAAATGTTTGACCCTGGCTTTTATATGCCAAAGTTTTGGGGAGGTGCTGAGTGCGCAAGATATCTGCTACATGTTCAAGTCAAAGCGAGTCCCTCCTTCAGCCAAGACTAAGGGCCGCCTTAAAACATGTCAAACTATTCCGAGTCCTCATTACAACGTGGACATTTTGAAACATGGAGAAGTGTGTCAGGGATTCTGGATATATCATGCTGAGAAAAGATATTAAAGGGATCAAATCGTCTTTCTCTGAATCTCGTGGATGTCTAGATTCAGCAGTTTCAATTCGACTTGGACAAGTTGGACCCTCTTATTGGATGTGATCATTTCATGTTTAGTTGCCAAATGATGATCATATGTAGTTTCTTTATTCTTTATGAATTGAATTACTGATTTCATGCTGAATTTGAACGAGACGAGGGTTTGAGGAACATTTTTGATGTTGTGGAGGATTGGGACTGAATGAAGGATTAGATATTAGGGTTTACTCTTTCTCTAAATGTTAAGAAATGTGAACTCTGTCATCGTTTACTCGCCCTCATGTCATTACAAACATGTCATGTTCTTCAACACAAAAGAAGATGATGCTTTGAAAAATGTCATACAATAAAAGTCAACTTGTTTAGGACCACAATGAACTCTCTCGCATGGCCATATTGGACCAAATTGACATTTCTGTTTTTAAGTTCATGAGCTACAATTGAATAAAAACTATATGAACATATAAAAAAAGGGAAGAAGAATAGAATTCAGCTGCATTCAAATGCATCACTGATATTAAAATAACACTTTTATGCGATGATACCAGACAGTGCCACAGTTGAGATGTGAAGTAAGACATAGCCATACAACAACATAACATGAATATTTGTGCAAATGTCCATTGCATGTCTGAACATATGAGCAAAGCTGTGAGTCGTTAGCTTTTACATGTGCAACATGTTAAGCAGAGAGAAGACAGAGACAAACAGAGAAAGAGAGAGAGAGAAGAACATCTGGCATTATATCAAACCACTCATTGCTCTGTGGACACGTAGCAACTTCAAGAGCCATGGCCCTGTCTGACCTCCTTTTCTCACATCTTTACATTTTAAAATGCATTGTAAATTCACGATGAAATGCAATAGGAATGCAGAGAGATGGTGGTGGCCTTGTGACAGTTCATATTTTATTACTGCGTATAAATGTAAAGATGTTGCTAATGAAAGGCGGACTATAATGTGGATTGAGTTGAAACCAGTTTAATAGATTTCTTTCAGAATGCTTGGGCAAAACAAAACAGCCTAATTATTTTTATTTCTCTATTGAATTAATAGCATTACATGCAAAAGCCTGAGAATCGTCTTCAAACCCCCAGGATGTTAGACTGGCTCACACGTTAGCAAAGACTTCTGTCATCTTTTATTGTGTGGATGGATATAGCAGAGTATGGATCCGGTCACAGGAAAACCATATGTTGATGCTGGTTTTATACGCTCGGGCAGAAATCTGAAACCCTAGTGCCTTATCAAAGCTGAAATTAAAAGCTGCTTTTCAAAAACCCTTTTTTTGTGTGTGTGACCACCAGTCCAAAACAGGAATAGGCATGTTATTGAGCACAGCAATAAAACTTTTCTTTTTGCAGCTTCCAAAATCGTATCATGTTTCCAAGTATTTATGTATTCATTTGTTAAATTGTTGGTACATTGAAAAAAAAAAAAGTACAAAAGCTGTCACTGGGGCTGTACCCTTTCAAAAAGAGTGCATATTAGTACCACAAAGGTACATATTTGGGCCCAAAAGTGTATATTCGTACTGAAATGCTACATATTACAACGTTTTTAAAGGGTACTGTCCCAGTGGCAGCTTTTGTATCATTTTTTCTGAGAGCGTGTACCTTGCAAGATTTTGGTCCTTTTTTTTTTCAGTATGAAATTGATATCTTATAGCTACTTCTCTTGTTAATGTGAGGAGGTTATTTAATTATTATTGAAGTTTCTGCAAATGACGAAAATCTCAAATGTCTAATGTAGGCAGTAAACGGCAAGTGAGCTTCTTAGGATTTGAGATACATCCGTCCTTCTGGAACTATACACTTCTTTTGGGAAACTAGATCGACACGTACGTTCCATCACAGTTGCTATCTTACCTTCTAAATGGTGTAATATAACCTAGCTAAGAATATGATATACAAGAAACACATGCCACTATGACCATGTAAAATGAATGTATTTTAAAATGTAAAATGTATTCCAGTGATCAAAGCTGAATTTTCAGCATCATTACTCCAGTCTTCAGGGTCACATGATCCTTCAGAAATCACTCTAATATGATGATTTGATGATCAAGAAACATATATTATTATTATCAGTGTTGACAACTGTTGTACTTCATATTTTTGTGGAAACCGTGATACATAATTTTCAGGAATCTTTGATAAATAGAAAGTTCAAAAAACAGCGTTTATTTGAAATAGAAATAGTTTATAACATTATACCTTACTGTCAATTTTAATAAATTGTATGCATCCCTGCTGAATAACAGTAATGATGTTCAGTACAAATTATTTTAAAAACATGACATATATAATATAATGGTCGAACTTTAGATTAAGGTCCAATTCTCACTATTAACTATGACTTTTTCCACATTAAACTCTTGTTTATTAATAGTTATTAAGGCAGTTGTTAAGTTTAGGTATTGGGTGATTAAGGAATGTGGAATATGATCATGCAGAATTAATATGTGCTTTATAAGTACTAATAAACAGCCAATATCCTAGTAATATGCATGCTAAGAAGCAACTTAATAGTGAGAATTGGACCCTAAACTAAAGTGTTACCAATATAATATATTGCGGCTCCTCTTTATAGTCTTGAATAAAAATCCACTGACAATGTCAAACACATACTGGCAGACAACAAATCCTTTGAAATGATGTGCAATTTTCCTGTCATCTTTATTTGCATTCTAATAAGTTCTAATAAGGTTGTCATTGTAAAAATAGTCATGCTTTTAAGCTGATTATATTTTTCAATATGCATTACAACAGTTTTACAGCTGTGGTATGAGAGAATGCGCTGACTTTTTAAAAATATTTTTATTATTATTATTATTATTCACTTTATTCTTGGTAAAATTGGTCCATTCAACAACATACAATCACTTGTTCACCTTCAAAATGCATTTACTTTTCTCGATAGTGAGAACTTTTTCGTATTGAAAGATGGGAAAGACAGACAGTGCAGATTGGGGCAGGGCGAGGTTTAAATAGAAGTGGTAATTTTCTGTGCTTTTGTTTTACAGGAGTTGCAGTAATATGTGCCTCTGTGGCGAGTGTCTGGCAGAGATCAGTCGGTGGTTGGGATGGACATTTATACAAGGCCTGCACAGTTAGATAGTATTTTCTAAGCTACTGTACACTAAAATATGACTAAAATGTCGCAAGTCATCTCCCTTGAGTGTTTCCAGCCTTAAAGGGTTAGTTCACCCAAAAATGAAAACTCTGTCAGTAATTACTCTCCCTCATGTTGTTCCAACCCCGTAAGACTTTCGTTCATCTTCAGAACACGAATTAAGATATTTTTGATTAAATCTGAGAGCTGGCTCACTCCTCCATAGGCTTCTTAAGGGATCGAAACTGGCCGGCCCAAAAGTTATGAAAGACATCGTTAAAATAGTCCGAGTGACTACAGCGGCTCAACCTTAAGTTTATCAAGCGACGAGAATACTTTTTGTGCGCAAAAAAACAAACAAAAATAACGACTTTATTCAACTATTCATTTCCTTCTCTGTACGGCCGTGATATTTCACGTAGTGATATTGCGCAAAGCTTCTAGGTTGTAAGTCACGCATCACACACATGACCAGCGTCGGCCAATAGTGAGCCAGCGTGTGACGTGCAACCTAGAAGCTTTGCGCAATATCACTACGTGAAATATCACGGCCGTACAGAGAAGGAAATGAATAGTTGAATAAAGTCGTTCTTTTTGTTTGTTTTTTTTGCGCACAAAAAGTATCCTCGTCGCGTGATAAACTTAAGGTTGAGCCACTGTAGTCACTCGGACTATTTTAACAATGTCTTTCATAACTTTTGGGCCGGCCAGTTTCGATCCCTTAAGAAGCCTATGGAGGAGTGAGCCAGCTCTCAGATTTAATCAAAAATATCTTAATTCGTGTTCTGAAGATGAACGAAAGTCTTACGGGGTTGGAACAACACGAGGGAGAGAAATTACTGACAGAATTTTCATTTTTGGGTGAACTAACCCTTTAATGAAGCTGCATTTCCTCTTCAATCACAAACTTCAGTGTTCCCACACATCTACCAGAGACCAAGCCACTCAAACGCTGATCGCATAAAGCCAAAACACACTTTTAGATCAAATTTAAATGAGGATACAAACAAGGAAACAGCTAACACTATACAAACAACTACACCAGCCAAACAGTCAGTGAAATTCAAAACACTGACATAAACAAACATTTGTCGCAGATTGAACTGGGCTCACATGTCAATCAATCTTTATAAAGTCACTAGTACTTAACATAACAAGCACTGCGGTTCATTGGAGCAGAACTGTCCATGTAAGACAAGAAGGTGTGGGTCGATCTGAAATCAAATGTGTTCACAATCACATCATGTGCATCAAAATGCGGATAACTGTCACTAAATTAGCTTGTTAAAAAAAGAGAAAAAACCAACGGCAACCTGTCACTCACATGAGATCCGCCATAAGCAAACCACAATTAAAGTGTACATGAAGTGTGCCATTTGCGACAAGGTCTAACTGCACCAAACTGAATTGCAAAAATGATGACTGATTAATGATTTTCAAACAAGGTTTCCTGAAGACTTCCCCTGTCTGCCATTGGTCAGACAAATAGATAGTCCCGCCTTAATCTCACGCCATTGGTTTCTGTGTCAATCAATTAAGAGACATTTTTATGGTATTTTAACTTGGAAAAGGTTTAGTCCCTTTCCCACCCTCTCCCATTTGGACGTTACATATATACAGGTGGGAAGTGGTATTT